ATTAACACCTGCAAAAATAGATTGCTTTTTTGGGGGTGTTGGTTTTTTTCACAAAAGGAACTAGGTATCCTAGCAGAGTGAAGAGTTACAATAATGTGATTGCTAAGAACTGCTTGGTATAGCCTAGTAACTCATTTAGTAACCTGGGAGTACAAATGCCTGAGTGGAGAAGGAATAGTGTTGTTGAGAACATGATATTTTTAGGGAAGAGTAAGGGCACATTCTTCTCAGGAAGAAAAAAGGAAACATGGGAGGGAAAGCTAAAATTCACTGGAATTACTCCACAAAGTGACTCAAGAACTCTGGCTTACTTGAGATGCTGCAGGAGCAGCAATCCATGCCACATGATAGGCTTGCAGGCTCTCCAGACAGTCCCCAGTAACAGCTGCTTGCCAGAAGACAGGAAAATTATTCTGTTAACGTGTTTACTTGGATGTTCCATAGTTGGACTCATACATTGGCAATTTTCCCTATTCCATATCTGCAGTCAGTCTCAGCTTTGGATGTTGCCTGCCTCTAACATGGAATTTGCAGCATGGTTGCACACATTTTCATGCTCTGGAACAGTGGAAATCTAGGAAACTCCTGAATGCTGACACCATGCTCTTCCTATTTTAGCCCTTTGTAATGCCACTGCCTATTTTTTTTTTTTTTGTACTGCCTGAAAACTGGCTTGATTTTATGGCTGTCTTAGGAATGTTTTGTTTTGTGGACCAAAGCAGCATATTTCCAGCATCTCTACTTCAACAGAACCCACTTTTAATTTTCCACTTCACCATGAATCTCAATGACTGGAGAGAGGACAGAGAGCAAAAATGGGATTCCAAAAATGCTAGCCCTTTATTTGTATTTGATAAATATAGCTGTTTAGAGACCCAGGTGGAATTCCCCAGCCTAGAAACTTAAAAGATATGAAAGAGTGACTTCTCTTGACAAGATTTGCTTTGAGCATAAAAAGAGTGAGTGCATATCCTGCCTTGTCATTTGAGTATATGGCAAGACTGGTGAGTGGTAGGGAAGAAAATAAGAAAGCAGAAGCCAAATAAAAACTGAAAGCAGTAAAACTTTATAATCTTGCTTAGACAATTCCAACTATCACCCCACAGTTCCACAACTTCAAAAAGTTTCTACAAAATAATTATTAGAAAAACATCCTACAACTCACAGAAGCAAAATGTTTATAGATTGAAAGAGTTTCATTGCAAAGGTAACGACTGGCCTATGACCAATATAACATTCTGGACAAAAGGTGCACTATGTGCCTTATTTTATCTCAGCAAAAGCTCCTTCTAGGGTGGAGAATAACTAAAAATCATTTCTTGCAAGAATCTTCCTCCATAATCACAATTTGCAATTTGCAAAGACAAATTAGTGATGTTCTCAATAGCAAAGGTCAAATGGTTCTGTTGCTTAGGCACAGAACAAAGTACCAAAAAGAGTAAAAGGATCATTCTGGTTTGTTTGTGCCATTCAAACACTAATTACTTTAATTCCTTTGTCTTAATTACTCCTGGTAAGATAACTTCTACACAGGTATTTCTAAAGCTTTCATAACAGTCAGTTAAATTACCTGCCAGAACAAAACTGACTAGACAATCTCAGCACTTTTGTTTGTTTACAAAATGAACAGCCACCACGTTTCTGAAAAACTCATTCAAATGCTTTAAGGGATACTGTAACTTATCTGGAATATCCAGGTCTAAGGCTTAGATCTTAAATGACTTATTGTTGGAATCCTGGATGCTGAGAATTTTAAATGTTCTGTGCCTAAAGGCACAAAACCACAAGAGAACACTGCATTTGACCAGAGGTTGTGGAACAGGCTTTTAAAATTGATTAATAGCACTGGTATTATGGGTGTGTAGTTGGTTAGAAGTCTGTAATATCACAGGATGGAAAACTTAAGAGTTAGGGATTTTAGAATATAGAAATAAATATGAAGCAAGATGGAGGTTTTAGGATGGAGGCAGGTTGTTCTTTACCTTTTTCTTCCTTCTTCATGGGTATGGGTGATGTTTTGTGATTGGACAGAAAAGTCCACATTGTGGACTTCAGGACATCAGTTACTGGGTTAAAAGGGAAAATAATCTAGGTGTCCTTTCTTAATTGGATAGTGTAGTTTCTAAAGACCTTGTAACAAGAGTTAGTTAGCCATTTTGTGCCTTGCTAATGAAAAAGCTGCCAAACTCACGGTAGTGAGACTGTAATATAGATAAGAAATAATAAACACCTGAGTCCGAACATGAAATACCATCTCAAGTGCCTTCATTCCTGACCTCGAGAAATCGATAACTTATCCAGCATGGAAAGAGAGATAAAGGTGTAGCTGGTAAAAGATACTCTAATGTTATTCTAAGTACAGCTCTGACAAGTCAGTTATTGGTCACTTGAAACTAGAAACATTTCCTGTATTAAAAATTTACATCAGAAGCACAAAATAATGGCCTATGGTGACATGGTGTGTTGCTTAGATAGGCATTTATGTACACTTATGTTTAGGCTGCTGCTCTCAAAATGTATGAATGGTATAGCGATGACAGCAGTTGCCAAGTACCTTACATGTAATACTGGCAGGAATCCATTGCTATCTCTTAAAAATATCTGTGAATCTTTGTTTCATAGGTCTTATTTTGTCTGTCTACTTTGAAGTTCTTCCTGAAGAAGAACTTCAAAGTGGACAGAAGTCTGAAGTCACAGTTAACCTACATCTGACAACGCAGCAACCCAAAGAAAGAAATGCATGTTAGATCATGTCCCAGCAGAACTGCTAAGAGGAAATACACACTGACACAGAGTTGGTAATGTATTGGAAAAATATCAGTGTCTCTAGGAAGCTCTGGAAAAGAGGAGGGAATTATGAACTGCTGTAGAACCTATCCACAGTAATGATTAACAAAACCAGGTGTTCATTGATCTCCTTGCATCCTTGCAAGGAGACTTGAAAGCCCTATGCAGGGTAGTTTCATTTTTATGCCAGTGGGGGTTTATGTTCCAGATTATCAAGTGCGTCATTCAGCCCTCAGCAGTCAACTGTATCGTGTTGAGTTCCCACTGCCAAGTAAACACGAAATCCACTCAGACATCATAGCTGTGCTAAGGATTGTTTCTGATTCTGCACCAATCTGATATTTGCACCAGGTGGCAAGAGGTGGAAGAACAGGAAATGCGGAGAAATACAGATCAGAATTACTAATAGTGCTGCCTGAAATTTTTTCTGCATATGTTCCATAAAGAACATTTCACTTTGTCTAACAAATTATTTTGTACTTGGTTCTAGTTTGGCTTATTTAACAATCTCTAAGCTTTAGAATTTCTTCAATTATATTAAAAAAAAAATTTGTTCATCATTACTTGGTAAAACTAGGCTTCATATTCAGTTCAATAGAATTTTGTGTCTGCTCTTGCTATTTGCAGCTTTAAGAGGGTAAACCAGTTTGAGCTATAGGAATTCACAAAAGTCTTCTGAGAGATACAGTTTTAGCTTAAGTAAAATCCACTTAAGTAGAAGATTCCTAAATGGGACCGTTAGGATACTGGATGTAATCAAAGCTTGTTGAAATCAGTGGGAACTGAAAACATTTTGCAATTGGGAGATTTAGGTTCACAGAAGGCAAATAAAAATAAACATTTATGTCAGTTTTTATGCTTTATAGAGACAAAAGTAAAATTTTTCTGACCACAGTACTAAGATGACCTGTGTGCCTCATAAACTAATGGCAATCTGGCACCCTGGCAGGATTATGCATGAGTACATTCATGAGAAAATTTAGGGCTTGGATCTTCTCTTAGATGCTGTGACTTGCGAAATTTAACAATACAAATGTTCTACTTGCCATTGTGAGTAGGATGAGCAACCAGTTAAATCCTGAGGACAGGTCACACCAAATGCATGCAAACTAAAGCTAAATATGTATATACAAGTGCCGCCCAAGTCAAGCCTTTCTTTAAAACATTGGTGTGTATTTTTAGAAGATTAAAGACAATAATGAAGAAATATATTTGCACCACCCTCCAATCTGGCTTGGTCTTCATGTCCCTATGTAGATATTTCCAACACTTTAGGACATACAGTGTCTGAATTGGCAGTATTCTACTGATATTATTTTAAGTTTCATAAAACCATTTCCTTTCATTTTCTAGGCTTCACTTTAAGTGTGAGATACCAGAGAGATCAAATTCTAGCCAGAGTAGACAGTATTTATTTTTCCTCTCAACCAATTAACAAGCTTCTAATTCATATGTAGTTCAACACTACATATATTTTTAAAGTAAGCTAATAAAATACAAGAAAATTAGTGCTGAATATATGTTTGGGCATATCCTCCTACCACATTTGACAGGCTTCAGAGCCAGCTGAATATTCTACACCAAAACAAAAAGTAACTGCTGACTACATGATTTGACCAAACTGGCCTAATCTATCATGTTATATTTTTGGCAGGTCTACTGTCTCTTTTGCAATTCTGTTTTTTTTTCCCTTCTGTTTTCCTCTCTAACTTCCCTGCAATGGGCCTTTCCATACCTGTTGGAATTGTCTAAGTTTTATGCATTCCCTTTCTTTGCTAGTGGATATTTGATATAATTGTGCTATTCAACAGAACAATGTCCACATCCTCCTGCATACTTAGGCCAGACACCACATATGAAACTGGTATCTGTATTATATTTGGATCACTCAAATCCAGTGAGAAGGGGCGATCATGATGGCAAGATTGTGCTCCAGGTAAGTACATGAGTGTCTGTAAGTGAGCTTCTCCTCCTCTGCATTTTCTGCGTGTGCTCTCTTCTTCATAAAAGAACTCCTACTTTATCTCTAAGTGCATATGACTGTGGTGGCTTATCTTTCTGGTGGGTCTGTGAATTCTCCGACTTCCACAACAGCCTCTGGGCACAAAACCCGTGACCACCCGCTCCCTTCCTCGGCTGCTGGGTGGAGCGCAGCGCGGACCACGGCACCACGGCAGGGGACGGCTGACAGAAAATGATTTCCTAAGGCGGAGTTCTGAAAGGGACGGGACGCTCGGAGAGGGCAGGGTGGAAGGGCGCGGAGGTTCGCGGAGTGCCGCCCTGCTCCCGCCCCTGCTGCGTCCGTCCCGCGCCGTCCGGTGCCCGCCGGGCCCGACCCCGCCCGGCCCCCGCCCGGCCCCCGGCTCGCGCGTCCTTCGCGGCGCTCGCTGCCGCGCACGGGGCTCGAAAGATGGAGGACTACGGGCGATTCTTGGCGCTGCTGGCCTCTGCGCTGCTGGTCGGCTTCGTGTCGGTCATCCTCTCCCTGGTCTGGGTGTTCCACTACCGCGAGGGGCTGAGTTGGGACGGAAGCCTGGGGGAATTCAACTGGCACCCCGTCCTCATCATCACGGGCTTCGTCTTCATCCAGGGCATCGGTGCGTCGGGGGCCCGGGCGGGCGCGGGGCTGCGGGGGAGCGGGGCCTGCCCGGGGCCGCGGTGGCGCGGCCGGTGCTGCGGCGCGGGAGGCTCGGGGCGGCCGGTGGCGGGTCACAGCGGGAGCAGCACTCGGTCCGCCGCTTAGGGAAGCCGGCGCTCCCGGGAAGGGACAAAGAGTCCCTTGTAATAAACCAAAATTGCTACATACGGGGTTTGGGTTGTTTTGGGGTTTTTTCTGCGAGCACTTGTTTATCCTGGCCCGGGGATTGCCGTCCACTTTGAGTAATGCCTGCGAGGTGTGTTTTTCCTAGGGAGCTGGAATTTATGAAAGTTGAAAATCGAAATGTGAGAAATGCTGCCCTAAGAAAGTTTCTCTTTTGGCCCTCTTCCATGTCCCAAGAAGAGAAAGGAAAGTTCAGTACCGCAGAAGCTTGATCCAGGAGCAGGGTTTTTGCCAGAGAAAATGTAGCACCACAAGCACTATTAAAATGCAGTTCTTCAGGCTAGACTTAGGATTAATTGTTTAGTAAAGCATATATCTTAAATTAATAGTTTATTCTGTTGCTTAAATAACATATAATTATTAAGGTACAGGGTTGCTTTTTCTCTTTTTCCTTTTTTTTTTTTTTTTTTTTTTTTAATTTCTTTAAGATGTGTGAACTTTGGATTTCATAGAGTTCAGTCATGGACTAACATTTTTCCATTACACTTCCAGACAGTCAAAAGGCTGGAAGATGCCAAAGGCCTTCTTGTGGCTTCAAGCTGCAAACCAGTATTGTGCAATAACCACATTTTGAAGTTGTTTTACATAATATTGCTCAATAGGAAGTGTAATTTCAGGCTATAAATAAGCAATGGAAACCACCTGTTGACTTCACTAAGATCTATCTACTTAATGTACTCAACCTATTTTTTTATATATATAAGCATACAACTTTTGAAGAAAATAGGGAGAGGCTTTCTGCAGCTTTTTCCTATGTATTTTCTATTTTTTTTCCTCTGAAACTCAGTTTTTTCCCTGTGTCACAGAGAAAGGGCGATGCCGCAAACCCTGTATAGGTAAGGATATATGTAAAGTAAATGGACGTTTACCATAAGAAACTACACACATACAAGGAATTCACTAATAATACAGCATAATTTAGGGAGGAAGTCCTATTACATAATAGGAAAAGAAAAGTTGGAGACTGAAGGGGTATTGTAGTAAATCAGATGAAATATCAACAGATACCACTGTGAATCTGATTCTAATTTGGCTGATGGATGTCTGCCACTGAATTCAAAGTAATTTGTATGAGAGTGGGAAATCAGATACCTCTTTGGACACATACAAGAAAGATAAGTCTTTAAGTAATTGAAAGTAGGAAGGTGTAGCTAAAAAAACTTGGTAAAATTTGAGTAGAGAATTTAAAATAATAACTTAACCAATTTTTTCTTGAGTTTATTCGTCTATACAAAGGATGGAAATGTTTTATTGTTGGTCAATAACTACAATTTTGCCCTGCACATTTGTAAAAGGACAGACGTCCCATGCAATGTAAAAATATTGCAAGATGACTCTGCCATGTGTGATGTGTTTTTAAATCATAGTTCAAAACAGGAGTAAGGTCTGAGTCAAAAAGCTCAGTCCAGGGTGCCTAGGCTGGCACCTACTTTCTTAACAGTACTAGAGATGTTCTGCCTTGAGAAAGTCAAGCTTTACCATGTTACCACCAAACATTCTAATTGTGTATGTGCTTTTAACCTAGGCTGTTTTAATTTTGACATGAAATTACACATCACATCTGAGTAAGTTTTTAAGAGCTTGTACTCATTGAAAGGTGAATCTTCCTTCTCTCCCCTTTGTTCCCCTTTCCTCCTGCAGATTAGAAAAGCACCAATTATGAGAAAGGCAGGGAGAAGCAGACAGAAGTGGTGATGGGGCAATAAAACTGTGTCTTTTCACAGTGATTAATAAATCTGCTGAAATTGCAATGTGTAAGTTCACACAAAGTCCTCCCAGAAAGATAATTAAACCATTATGGCCTGGGCTGTGGCATGTAACATGGTAATGAATGTTAACAACTGGCCAAACCATTAGTTCGTTATTACTTCATTTTCTACTGTAATGTTTATGGGAAAGAACTTAGAAAATTCAGGGCCCAGAGATCTGAGACTCTGTGGACAAGTGACTAGGGAGTCTGATAGTGCTTTTGGAAGTTAAATCAGCTAGATGACAACAAAAAAATATTATATAAAAATTTTAGCCCAGACTTGACCCTCTGAGATCAAAGACTAAAAACTGAGACGAGGACTTATGCTCATTAAGTTTTCTTCATACAGAGTCCAGTACTGTGCTGCACCATGAATAAATTATTGACAATACTGTGGGACATATGGTAAGAAGGATTTATTGGGAATATCCTCATGGGATGTTGAAACTCATTTTGGGGCCTTTTGACACATTTCTTTACAAAATTAGAAGTCATTATCATTAGTACTAAGTTGATTAATAATAGTCTAATGCAGGATATTATTGCCAGCTGGCTGAACATGAGCCAGTGTGTGCCCAGGTGGCCAAGAACACCAACAGAATCTTGGCCTATATCAGGAATAGTGTGGCCAGCAGAACCAGGGCAGTGATTGTTCCTCCTGTACCCAGTACTGGTGGGGCACACCTCAAATCTTGTGTCCAGTTCTTGGCCCCTCAGTACAAGATGGACACTGAGGTGCTGGAACAGGTCCAGAGAAGGGCAATGAGGCTGGTGAAGGGTCTGGAGCGCAAGTCTGAAGAGAAGCAGCTGCGGGAGCTGGGGGGTTTTTAGCCTGGAGAAAAGAAAGCTCAGGGGGACCTTACTGTTCTCTGTCTGAAAGGAGGATGCAAGTGGGGATTGATCTCATCTCCCAAGTAACAAGTGACAGAACAAGAGGAAATGGCCTCCAGTTCCACCAGAAAAGGTTAAGATTGGACACTTGCAAAACTTTCTTCACTGAAATGGTGGTCAGGTATTGAAATGACCGCCCAGAAAAGTGATGGAATGAATCACTGTCCCTGGAAGTGTTCAAAAAATATCAGTGTGGTGCTCAGGACATGTTTTAGTGTAGACATAGCAGTGATATGTTAATGGTCAAACTCAATTATCTGAGAGGTATTTTCCAAATTTAGCCATTCTAGGATTCTAACATTATCATGTAATGTCACTGTGGGGAACTGTTGGAGGTGATAAGCTTGGTGTGCAGAATAATTTCTGTAATAGATTGCTTTAAGACAGTCAAATCATCTTATAAACAAGGTTTCTATCTTCTTGATTTTGTAGGATTTACCACTGTTGCTTTTTCAAGTAGAAAGCCAACAACCACCTAAGTGCTGTATATATTTAAATGTTCTAAGGAATTCTTTCATTCCAGTATTATATTTTCACACAGTATCTAAAAGCATACATTGATTTAAAATCTGATCATAGTATGGAAATTTGACTTGTAAACTGTTTTCTTTGTGAATTATTTCACGTAGTACTGTATTTATTGAAATACATCCAAGTTAAAAAGAAAAAGTGTGAACAGAACTTGAACATTTGTCATATATTACTACTATTCATCAGAAAATAACAGAAATAATATTCTGTTTATTTTCCATAATCTGTGCTTTTTGCCTAAAATGCAAGGGTTGTGGAGAAATAATGAATGAGTGGGGCACATGAGAATCACTTAGGTAATACTTTTCTAGTTCTTAATGTTTGGAACAAGATTTTTTTTAAAAAACCTACATAAATTATTATTCCTTTGTTTTATTATAGCTAATTATATATAACATTTTCACTGTAATTTCATAAGCAGAAGCCTTAAATTAGGATGTGATGAATCACTGAGTGGAGCTCAGACTTTTGATCAGGCTAGATATTATAGATGGGGGCATTAGTATTTATTGGTCACATTATCAGTTATCCTCATAAATATTTGTCCCCTGTTGGCTGAATATACTTATGTGCTGTCATGCATCCAGAATTACTATCTAGTTTGTAACCAGATGTACCTGGAGCTTCAGTGATGTAATGTGGCCCGTTTGTGTTCCCTGTGGAAAGCATTTGGGTCATATGACAGACAGGAGACAGTTGTGGTAGGATAGAGGCAGCAGGGATCTTGGAGAAAACTCAGCAAGAAGCAGCTCTAGGTTATTTTTATGGACCATCTGGAGTTAGAGCAATGGAAATTAGTGTTTTGTTCAGACTGGAAAAAACACTGTCTGCTAGATTTATTGATTTCACGTATAGGCAAAACTTCCCTACATTCATCTAACAGTGGTGGAAGACTTGTATTTGTTAAATGCTTTTGTCTCTTAAGTCAGATTATGATTCCCTTGTGCTGAAGAACATTTTCCCATTCAAAGTAGTCCTATTCATACCAGTGTAATAGACAGTCATATAAGTATCTATGCAATTAGAGAATAGCATTATCCAAAGTTGCAAAGAGAATAAATATTACAAAATAATCCTACATGCTTTCTCAACAAGTGATCTTCTCAATATAAGAATCAGTCTGACTAGTAGCAGTAAAATCAAAATCCTATGCCAAATCCCTGATAAATCAATTTAATGACTGACAAAAAGATGACAGCACGTTATTTACTGGTTTGGTTTTTTTTTTTTTTTTGAAACACACTTCAGTTTGTGGGATTTTTTAAAGGGAAGAAATCCCTTTAAGCCTCAGCTGTATTTTCAGAGTATGCTATGCTAAGTGTATGAGAAAAAGCCTTTTGACTTTTTAGACTTTTTAGACTTTTAGACTTTTTAGAAGACTTAAGGTTGGATCGATTTTGCTGCAATTTACAATGTAACTATGTGAATTATGCATAATTATTAACATTTGAAAGAAATTATTCTATAAGGCCTAAAATCTTGTTTCTTTTCTTTCTTCAGCTATTATTGTGTACAGATTGCCCTGGACCTGGAAGTGCAGCAAACTCCTAATGAAGTTCATACATGCTGGATTAAATACCATAGCTATGATTCTTGCAATTGTTTCTATGGTAGCCGTGTTTGAATTCCACAATGCCAAGAACATTCCTAACATGTACAGTCTGCACAGCTGGATTGGGCTGACTGCTGTTATATTTTATTCTCTCCAGGTCAGAATCTAACTGTATTTATAAACAGGTTGTCAATTTGAAGAATGTTTTTAGTAATTCAGGCACAATAGGCTCTTCCTAATATGTTGTAACTATTGGGATAGCCATTTTACTCTCTGATTTGGCAAATTATCATGTAAATGTACAAATACTGAATCATTGACTTTGAAGAAAAATGCATTTTTAAGCCTATTTAGTTTATTTGCTGGCATAATGGCCATTAACCTACAATACAGTTACACAGTAGTGTGTTTCTAAGCCCTATTAACTCCTGAACTTATAGCAAGTTACTTGGTTTGTTGGCAGCATATTTAAATATAGTTAGAGCATTTCTTTAAAAAGTCTCAAATTAAGTAATAGCTTTTCTTTTTTTTTCAGCTATCATAAATTTAAGTAGTGACTTCTTGGCCTCAAGACTTTTGTTACTCAGCAGAACAAGTGCCTCAGGGAGCAGTAGAGATGTAAAGGATCTGACACCTGAATGAGCTGCTACTGGGTAGCCAGTTTTCCTGAATCTGCAGAACTTTGATAGATGTTTGTGGGGCATGCTTTTAACTGCTCCTCTTGGCAGAGAATTAGCATTATTGTAATGTAAAATGAGCTAACTTAGTGCGTTTTGCATTTGGCAAAGAAGAACAACCATTCCCTGAAATTTACAGAACACATACAGATGCTTCTGCATATACATTCTGAACTCTCTGGATTTTGTTATTACACTATGGAAATTTATTTTGTTCCTTCAAATATTTTTTTCCCAAAACACTAAAAAGAAAAAATACTTAATTATCTATGATCAAGCACAGAAAAGCCTCAGCTAAGGGATTTGGGTTCTGGACTTTTTTCTTCAGTGCTCAGGCCAAGGGGTACAAGAAACAGTGCTGAAATAGTGTTTTAACATTTAGAAAAAAAGAAAGCATATTGCAGCATTGTTGAGTATATTCTCTATAGCTGAACAAATTCATAAGAATGAATATGAATGAGTAAGAAAAAACAATGTTAAAATTAAGTTTGTCCTAATAATACATCTATTTCAAGGAAGTCTGTGTTGCCACTACACTGAGTATCAGTATTTTTATTAATGGTTAAATGAAGAATTGTGACTAAAATCTGAGTTTTACTTTTCTTTTTGCTACTGTAAACATGATCAATGGCACTTAATGCCTTGCCTGTAACATCAGAATATCCTTCGTGTTCCTGCTCCAATCTGGGATGTAAGTCTCCAGTCAGAGACTGATGTTTGTTAAGCAACTGAGCACTATAAAAAATAGTCATAAAGCAGCATCTTTGTTAACAGAGAAAACACTTAGCACTTACCAGGGGCATGTCAGTCATATGCTCACATAATACTCTGCCTAAAGTATTGTAACTATATTGTAATTAAGCCAAATGTAGGTTAATACAGTGTAGTACACTGACATAAATTTAAGAATAGGGCAAAAATGTAAAATGAGACTGTCTCTTGGAAAATTACATCTCTGGAAAGAAGAACTCAAGAACGACACGAAGCTCTAAATTTCTCACAATACTTGGACAACAGGAAAAAAGATGGCATTAGTGAAACTAATATGAAATGTTATGGATTTTTTTTAATTTAAAAGACTGATCAGAAAAATAAAAAACAACAAAGCCAAAGAAATTCTGGAAAAGTAATCTGAGAGCTGGAAAAGCTGTTTCCATTGAAAAACTTAAAAAACTCCAGCTGTTCAGCAGATCTAAGATTAAGAAATTATAAGAAATTATTTGATTATGGTGTACTAAAAAGCTTCCCAGGGAGAAAATATCAGGCTCTCTAATCCATTATGGAAAGATAAAACAAGGACTGAGTTAAGGCAGGATGAAATATAAATTCATGCACTGTGTCTAATTTAGCAGCAGGGTGAGTAACAGCAAAACAAACTAAAGAAGGGATGCAACCTGACTGGGCAAGCCTGTGGGTGCAACATGGGACATGATGAGCTACTTTCCATCACAAAATTAGTGCTAATAGGAGGACTAACGTCCCCTGAATAACTTGGTGCTACCATACATGTCTTCACTCTGTAAATGCCATGTGATCAATATATTGAAAGACCACTCCCCTTCTAAAGATAGGCACTTAAAATTTAACTGAAATTCTAACAAGATAAAATTATTTAATCCACTCAAGTCAGAAGGTTAGGCTATCTTCTGATGTTTCTTTATATGAAAATCTGCAGCAGGAGCAGAGAACAGGACTTGATGAGACTGTAAAAATGTGGCTCCTTACACCTTTACTATATTAATGAATTAGTGACACTGAAAACTTGTGTTTCCAGTACTTAGTTTGGTTGGAGTTTTAGCACTATCAGTAAGTTTGGACACTGATATTACGTAGGATGATTTATAAAATATTAATGTTTGCTTCCCAAGTGCTGATCTAAAATTTTGCTTTGGTTTTGACAGGAAACACATTCAAAAATAGAAATGCCAGTTATTTTCAAATTTTTACCTGAAAACATCTCAGAATGGAGTTTTTATGATTATTCTACTTGAGAAGTGCAACTTGTTTTCCATCTAGCCCTAACTATGAATGTTTTGGTTATAGCTGTTCTTGGGTTTCGCTGTCTTTCTGCTCCCGTTTGCTCCAGTTCACCTCCGCGTAGCTCTCATGCCAATACATGTTTATTCGGGTCTTACCATCTTTGCAACAGTGATTGCAACAGCTCTCATGGGAATCACAGAAAAGCTTATATTTGCATTGTAAGTATTTATTTCCATGTGTTTATTAAGGTTATTCATTGCAAATATACTTCCATTTGCCCAGAATAATAAGCATCCAGTACTGGGAGACTGTTTAGTTTTGACCTGCCTAGCAGGAGACTGCTGTTTTTAGACCAGGATTGTCTTTAAAACAATCTTTTCTGACCTCTTCTTTCTTTTTCCCCTTTCAAAGGAAAAGTCCTGCATACAGTGCATCCCCACCAGAAGCAACTTTGGTCAACTGTCTTGGTCTTTTGCTTGTCATATTTGGTTCACTTATTTTGTGGATGGCAAGTAGGCCCCACTGGAAGCGGCCCCCAGCAGAGAATGCTAAAATTCTGAGGCCCACTGAAGCAACTCCTGATGGCACAGAAGTAGAATCCACACTGACAAAGAGTAGTAATGCAGATAAATCTGATCTGAGGAGTAATACTGAAGCAGCCAGAAAACAAAACATCAAATTTGATGAAGCAGGACAAAGATCAACTATGTAAAGAAAACACACAGAATAAAAGTACTATTATACCTCCAAATTCCCCCTGGTGATGGTCCTTCTAATGTAGTTATATTGATATGTAAGTAGGTTGGGGGTTCATTTTTACTATGGCTTGCTGAAAGGCACTCCAGTTTTCTGCATATGGATTTAAATTCCTGTAAGTCCCAAACATATTTTATTGTTCCATGACCAGTCCATGCCTTGTTTAAAAAAACAAGAGCATGAATGACGTCACATAATGGGAAAATCACATAATTGGAAACTGTCTTCTATATCACGTCTTAATTTAATGCTTATATCTCTTATAGTCATGAAAAATTTAACAAGATTCTGACTAAATTTTGCTCTTGAGTGCTTTTGCAGGTTATGAATCAGCCATGAAGTATACCATACAGAATAATTTCGTTTGTCACACACAAATTTTCTGGTAATGTTCACTTCTTTAAAGCTTGATTTCTCTAGCTGATTAACCCCCTCACCAGCTGCTGTGTTCTATGGGATTTGAGATCATTCCACACTTCACAGAGTTGCTTCATAAAAGTGTTTATTCTAAAATTTTTAATTAAAAAAAAAAAGTTTGCTAGATATCTTCATAAAATGTTATATTTCCTTTAGAAACTTCTGGGGGGTTTTGGTCTTGTTATTTTTTTAAATCAGAATGTATCTTTCAACAAATTCTACCAAATATATTGTATATGGACAATATTTGGCTTTAAATTATGTGCAATTATTAGTGTAATCTACAAAATGTTCAGACATCCAAATGCAGAATTTGTCTTATTTGAAAAGCTATAGAAACCCACTTAGAAAAATGTGTCACTTAAAGTAAGTCTTCTTTTTATCCCAGAAGGCAGCATTTTAGTATCGTTATTTGATTGCACAGTTCTATTGATTTATGGTACTAGACTAGAAATTAGGAGGTTAGAAACCAGAAAAATCTGCTATCAATCTCACAGAAAAAAAATACCTTCAAGTGAGAAATACTTCCCCAACACACAGGTGAGCATTACTCTTTTAATGAAATGCTACTTGTTAACTGGGAGCCAATTTTAGTATCTCCATACTGACATCAAAAGCATTGTTGTCATAGGCGTGAAGACATGCTTTAGTCTGTAAGCAGTCTATACAAACTCTGTGACTTTTTAATTTGAAATTACAATTTTAAATAAGGCAATTTTCTCTAAATACTGAAGAGTCCCTACTGGCACTTTACTTTTACAGCTCTTTGTAGTAATTGAAGTATTAATGTATTATGCTATTCATTAATTTCACAATACAAACAATATTTATACTTTCACTACTATGGAAGAATAATTATAGTAGATTATTTGGATTGCACATATCCAAAATAATGAGCCATTCTATTATTATCTCTTTGTAAAACCTGCAGAGCCCACTACAAATACAAATTTACTATTTTTCATGTTGGAATATAGATAGTTTCAGACAGCAAATAATTTCCTATTTTTTAAATACTACATACATTTTTATCTGCTCCAGCTTTAAAAAATATTTTAATACCTTACTCTTCAACATTTTTGTAGTTCATTGTGTGCTAGTACAAACTATTTTGGACATGAGTTATTTTGGGTTTTCTCTGACAAGAAGTACCTCAAGTCCTGTTATTTGATTTGTAATCATATTTTATTATTTGGTGATTGCAGGATAGAAAACTAGCATAATAAAATATTTTAAAAACTTTTCTGCTGTACGATTTGGTACTCAAGGACTACATCCCAGAGTTCTGTTTTCACTTGTAGGTTTGTGGATGACTGGAACCAAGCTCACACTGGTGTATTTTTCCACTGTAGAAAATACCTGCTTTTAATGTGGAATTCAGGTATGACAGAAGGAACACTAACCTAAACTACAAAACTGTTGTGTGAGCACTCCTCCAGTCCCACTATGTGCAATGAATCAAATAGTGAAGCATGACGGGAAAGTGAATAAACAAGCTCACTTGCAGTAATTTACTATGCAGCTTTCTATACCGCACTCACACAGGCAACTGGATTTTAAATTGTTATATACTTGCCTGTTACTGTGTCTCATCCACCTGTGAAAATGAGCTCACTCAATCCTTGCATAGTACTAGGTCACATAATAAAAGCATATGTTTATATGGAAGGTAGTCAGTTGCCTAGGGATTGCTCTGGAAGAAAAGTAACTGTACAGTGTACTGGAAGAAACACAGAATCTATTACTTCTTTTGTTACAGTGCTGAGTTGAATGTATTGAAATGAACAGCTTTTAGGTGGTTGGGTCTATATGCTGTTAAATAACCAGCATGCCTTCTGGCTTCCATTGTATTTCATGTACTGTTCAAGGGAAATGCTACTTGAAAAAAGAATGGTGGCATTTTTTTACTTCTCTATTCTCATGAAGTGTAAGGTACAAGTAACACCAAGGTTCAAGTACAAGTAACACCAAGGTTCAAACCTATGGGCCTTTTGCTTAAGGGTTGGACTCAATGATCCTTCTGGGTCCCTTTCAATTCCGACCATTCTGTGATTCTGTGAGATAAAAATAACTGAAAATCAAGGATTAAAAGCCTTTTGAGAGTGGGCTCCCAGAACATAATTTTGGTTTTCAACTTAGAGGTTAAACATGATAGTAGAAACTCAGCGGAAGCTGGAATATTCCATTTGGGGAATTTACAATCAGTGGTAACTCATGAACAGTGGGATTATGGCTGCTGATCTTTGGAAGGTCCCCATGAGATGCAGTAACTGTGAGCTCCTAAACCTTGATCAACCTTGGTGTATGCAATTTAAAACTGACAAAACATACTATAGACTTCTGGCTTAATTCTAAATTGATTAAAAAGGCCTCTAAGTATCCTTGCAAAAAATGAGGCTAGTTCAATGCTAAATAAAAAAGCACAGGTGTTTGCAGAGTCATAGTCCTAAACCTGCTCCTCAAAGTGGCCTTCCATTAACTTTCCTTTCATGCAAATTTTCTTACCTGTATTTATGAGTAACATAAATACAGTAGCAACAGAGGAAATGAAAAAAGTGTATGGAGGTATGGAAGGTAGAACTCTAGCTTTTTAATGGGTATTTTTCCACATGTTTGGAAATCATCTACATTGTTGTTTTTACAGGAAAATGATTGTAGAGCTTACATTCCAGGTTTGGATTCTTGTAAGAAACCAGGAAGTTACAAAACTTAACATTGAAAGTGCTATATTCTTAAGATGCCTGGGGAAAAAAATACTATATTTACATGATGTCATACAGTATTATGCACATAAGCAGAAGAGTGTGTTTTCCAACATTAAGGAACTGAGAAATGATGGTGCAAATTAGATTCTAAAATTGAATGTAATTACATGTGTGCTTCTTACTACAGGTAACCAAGAATATTACATATGGTAATGTAAATATGGATTGCTTGTATACATGGATATTTTATTGAGTGACTAAGAGATATTGCCAAATATTTTCTATTTCAGAAGTCTCTTTCTTTTGCTTTTATTTCAGAAAATGCCTTCCTCTGTTTTTAACTGTTCATAAGAACTGAAAAACTTACTTTATTATCCAAAGTACTTATTTGTAGATGAAAGCAAATATTTAATTATAATGTCTGTTTTTCTTATTCTTTTTTATATATTAATAAAAGTGATTTTTTGAGCTTGTGATACTGCTGAGTACAGATTTTTATTATGGTATTAAAATATAACTTTCCACATTGGATAAAGACCAAATTATTCGTAAATTACTTTTTGAAAACAGGAGGACAGTTGTACAAAATTTCTTAAATATGTCTTAATTTCAACTATTTATGATGAGCGTTATGATGACATTTATGTACTTTGTAGTCTTAGGAACATAGTACTTAATGGAAAGTGAAAGAATTCACTGTATAAACAATTTGTATTTCACCTTCTGATCATAACACAAATTCCTCACAGGTGTTGTTAAAAGGAGGTGAAAAACAAACCAAAATTATCCTGTCATGAGAATGTGATCGCCAGTATGGGAAGATCAAGGATTCTGATATATAATGGTAACATAATGCACTGTAAGACTGAAACACCCTCAGTTAAGTAACAGCCAGACTAAGCACAGACTCTGTGGAATCTTACCCAATTCAACATCTGCCTATCGAGTCACTCATAAATAGGTTAATTATCATAAAATGCTATGAACATATTGGTAACAACTAAGTATTAAGGTATTCTTGAGTTTAATAAGTTTAATTGGAAATTCTCCTGGAAGTATAAAGCATAAATTATTTGTGAACACCATATAGCTGTTGGCTAAAATTTTCCAACATTTTCATCATCATGGAATAATAAAAAATACTATTACAAACATCAACGTAGCAGAAAACCTGTTGCATTCAAACCTGCAAACCTGACAATTCCCTGTTGCTGAGGACTTCCCTCAACTGTTGCCTGTAGGTTGGATGTGTTGGGGGAAATTCTGGTAAAATAGTCCATGTTTTTAAAACATGGTGATTATTTAAAAATTCAGTAAAAGCTCAATTGTATTTAAAATTGAAAGAGGGGAATCAAATTTTGGCAGGAGGACTACATTTGTGTGGAATTTTTTTTTCTTTTTTTAAGTAGTGGGTGGAACCCTTTTAACTTACAATACAGGTATTTGCACTGTGTTATGGTATGAGCAACACTTTCCATCTCTCTAAGAATAGTGGGCAGTAATGAGGGGTGAACTATTAATCAGGTAGAAATTCAAGTAGATGACAACTATTCCAGGCAATTCAGCTAAGAGAAGAGAAGAGGTAATGTTGAGAAAATTTAGTTACTACTATATACAAACCAGAAATCTAAAAGAATTACAGGGCCCCAGCAAACTCTTACAGAAGAAGCAGAAACAATGGGTATAAATTTCAACAAGCTCAGTTATGTTCACCAAATGTACTCATCATACAGCTTCAGCCAACATATGTTAGCATGGGGCTTGAGTTTACAGCGAGTCCATGGCCACTTAGACCGACTACTCATTGGCTCTCAAATTCCATATTTTGCTGGTCACCAGGCCATGTCATAGTTGCAAATACAGCTGTCAGATAAAAGTTTTGAAAATGTTTGCAATTTGTAGTTCAATTTTCACATGTTTTTCATTCCAACAAAATAAATAATTCCATTGAGTAGTATTCAAATTCTGCAGGATATAATAAAATATTAGTGTGATTAATAGTGTGATGGTCTATTTTTGTGGCAGATGATGCTGCTCATCTGCGTACATGAGCAGTAATCCACTAGGTGGCAAGAACTACCGAAACAGCCTTTGGCAAATGCAAGACCAGCCTTACTTTTAGCTGATACAGTATGATGAGTCTGCCTCGAAACAAAAGCACAAGGTTAGTAGTCAAAAAACACACAGTTATGTCCGAATTTATATATTTACTTCTCTTTAAGGGCCCACTCAGAACACAGTATTTCTTCATCCCATTTCTTCATCTTAATTGTGCTCCACCTTGGAGCTCTTCAACTTCTGTTTGTAACTTTTGTGCAAATACAAGCTTACTTAAAAGACACGACAACAAGATCTGAAAAGCATGAAAGTTTAGGGATAAGCTCATATACAAGATATGAAAGTAGCAAGAATAAGAAAAAAGCAGGAATTTCCAGTAATTTTTACCATTTGACCTTGCAGTCTAAAAAAAAATAAAAATTGATCCTGAAAAAGTAAACATGAGTGCCAATTTCAAATAACAAAAAAGTACATTCTGCCATCAGATACATGCTAACAGCTTCTGTTCATAATTTAATCCTTTGAGGATACTGGCTTGTTTTCTGATGATGTTTTCTGATCTATTCCATTGAACAGACTAGTTTCAGTACTACTGAAAGCTATTTTTTACATGGTATGCTACTGCTATTGCTTGATCTTACTTGCTTACTCATTCTGTCAGTCTACACTGGAAGTTATTGTGTCTCCTATGCCTAACTAGTACTGATGTAGACAAGGCACCGTGGTTTTTCACGAAGCTTGCCATTCATGCTTAGGTCAATAAAGTGGCAAAATTCATGTAATTCTGATTCTCCAGGACATTGTTCTCATTATTGTTATGACTATTGGATCTAGAAGAAATATTAGTTTAAAATACCCTAGCAATTCAGGTTGAATGCTTGATCTTTTTGTTAAAAATAGCAATTGCTGTTGCAGTTAAGGAACAGCTCATACATCACTGTAGCAATGGGAGCACTAATATTGTCTGGCTCCTATTTCTGATCGGATGTAGAGAAGGAGATTAAAAATTTTCATGACTGTTTAAAGGAAAATTTACAAGAAAATTTATGTGACTGGTTCATTGCTGTGATTACTGCATTGGTAATGAGGAATTTGAACAAAATTCAGTAAGGCATAGCCTCTGTAATAATTGTAGTCTGTTTCAAATGCAAGACTGCCAATGGATAGTAATGACCCTGAACATAGTAGTAAGTCTAAATGGCCCTTACCAGCCTCACCTGGGAACCTCAACCCCCACACTCCTGCTCATGAGTCCAGGGCCTTTAACCCCGCTCCACTGGAGTGTTCCAGTGCTTGCCTGCATCCCCTTGGACATGACTTTCTGGCCTGATTTCTGCCTGGTCACATCACCCTGCACCTGTCTAGTGACCACAGGGCTCTGACCCTCAGTAGGTTGGGTTATGATCTGTGGATTGACTTTCCAGCATAACTGTCAACCTGCTTCAGCAGCTGAACCTGCTTGCTATTTCCTGCAATTAGTGCCTGCCCTGCTGCCTGCCATTCCTCATTGCACCCTGCCAGGAATGTTCTTGCATGCTCAGCCTGTACTGTGAACTGGGTGGATCAGTCTTCATGAAGTATTTGCTGTAGACAGACAGTGGCTTCCCCATTTATAACTATGTCTTCTTTTCATATTATTTTATGGAAATACTTTGCTTAAAAAGCCTTAACATTTTAGTTATAATCAAAAAATAATGGATGAGGTGCATGGAGTGAACAAAGATGTTTGCTCAACAGCAATAAAACACCTTTTTCTTCTGCATTTCCAATTATACTGAATGATACCATAATTTCACAGGTCTCCATACCTAACAAGAGTAGCAGCACGAAATATCCATTTCCATGTAGAAAAGTATGCTTTTTTAAAAATCTGCAGCAATGTGAAATCAGAGATAAATCTTGTCCTCACTTTATTGCATACTGTAAGCAGAAGTTGTAAGAGCCTAACGAAACAGAACTACAGCAGATCTCAAAATGCTGCAGTAGGAGTTTTCCTAGCTCTTTGGTCTGTACTGACAATTATGCAGCTAGTGACTGGAAAAAAAGTCTGCAGCTCCGAAAAGAAGGTGCTGTTTGTTATACATGGATTTGGATGAACTCTTCTCTGCTACCAAGCGGCAGAAACCCGATGATGGCACTGCAAAAGCCTAGGAAGAATTTGCCTATCCATGAGACTGCAACTGTATAACCACAAGCACTATTGAGTAAACAAGTTTACGTATGGACCTAAGCACTGCTCTCCTCCTCAAATAAATGAAAGAAAATTGACAGGCAATATAGACAGTCAGCAATTCCCACATACAACAGCTGTTCAAAACTCCTCCACAGAGTTACTTCACTTGGAAAAAAAGGGTATCTTTAAGTAAGAATTGCTTCCAGAGTTTTTAGCTGACTTCAGGGAAAGGAGAGTTCCCTGTTACTCCAGTCTCTGACTGCACTTGTACTCCATTTGTACCTGCTTTTAATATGAAGTCAAATACTCTGGCACAGAATCACACACAGAGTGCTTTTGATTTCTTCCTTTGGAAGCCTAACTCAGCCATCATGGAGTCTTGCATACTCTGAACCTCTTTTTATTTTCAATTGTAATTCAGACACTAACTATAGGAAACTATCAAGGAACCTACACATGGTTTGAGCTCATCACAGCAATGCCTTGATCTTCTTAAGTGAAGAGGTGACTACAATCCTGTGAGAATTCAGGCATTTCTGCACATTTTCCTACAGATTGTATTATTTTGCACTTTCTAACATTATGCTTTCCAAGCCACTGAGGTACATGTGCTTCATTCACTAATTAACATTTCCTTCTTATTCCAAACTCCTTTCTCCAGTTCTTCTGAGGACATTTTACTCCTATCTTTGTATTCCCTGAATCTCTGCTCTAGCAACAAAATCTTTATATTTCTCAGTATATTTTCCCTGATTTAAAACCTAATCAATTTCTCATCCTGGAGAGGGTAGCTCACTTTAGTCTGAGTAGGACAGTTCCTCCTAATGCCTTAAAAGACTAATTCACTCTGAAGTAAACTCTTTGGAATGTAATAAATGTGTAATAAATGGTTACAAAGACATTTTGTACATCAGCCCAATAAGTACAAGTTCAAATTATATCACAAACTCGACTTTCAGTTTTATTACATTGTTGCCATGTTTATGATTGTTATTTTCAATATACTTAGTGCTCTTTTGCCTATCTCTAAACATTTTAAACATCCCTAAGCAAATAATAACAGTAACAAAAAATACTTTGGTGTTTTGATCTAAAATTTTGAATTTTCAATGAAAAATATTTTTGTGGCTTTAGAGTCAGTCTGTAGATAAAATACATAAAATTAATTCCACCAGCTACATCCAACAATTTTTGGTTACTCTGTAATTTCAGATCTGAGTCATTTTGAGAGAAGACAGCTTGTGTAG